AATACTAATGCATGAAAATCCTAACCTCAAAAAAATCACCCGTTATAACCACTGTGAACCTTATTAGTTAAATACAATGGTTTTGTCACATCGCTACTACGAAAATAGTAAAAAAAATATATATATATGTGTACATATTTATAACAACAAAGCTTAATACTAATAACAAACCATATTCTCCCAGATTGAAATTAATTAATTTTCCCATCATGGTTAAAAAGCAAGCATCAAATGCTCGGAAAACAAAAAAAAAAAACAAAAAATACTTTTTCAGTCCATTTTAAAATACATAAAATAGATTTTGAAGCGTAAACAAAAACAAAGCATGTTTTCTGAGTAAACTTGCAAAATGAACAATGCGAATTTGGGTGCATTCAATTTATTTGCTTACATGCACATTGATATGAAATTATTTTGATTTCTATTTAATACGACGAAATACTAAGAGTATATCTGTGATTCATGCTAACTTATGTGGTATCCGTAATACGCTTAACTTGAGATGGAATTCTCAAAACCACTGCAATGCAATGCTCGTACAAATATCTATAGAAATATGTGTAGATTATGTATTTATATTTAAACATCTGCTGCCAATTTCGTAGAATAGTCTGAGTATTATTATTTATTTAGTATTGTGTGCCATAGTCGAATGGAATGAGGTGCGTACTAACGCACGGTAGGCACTAGTTTGGATACCTAGTTCAAGTAACAGCTTAAAATTGAAAAAAAAAAATAAAAATGAAACGTCTAACAGCGGTCGCCCTCGGCAGGCATTGGCAAACCGGGCGTGTATTGCTGCCTTGAAAATAAATTTCAAAAGAACCATTTGCCTTTCGGAGGCGGCGTAAAACTGTTGGTCCCTTCATTTGTGTGACAACACCAGGTTGCTCATCATAAAATTGGAGAAGAAGCTCGGCCTAACACTGAGCGAAAATGTGAGCGCTAAATATTTATTTTGCATTTCTATCTAAGCGGCATATGTCGGCATCTACTAACTAGTGTTGTTATTTCACTGCTATGTCGAATTTTGGAATTTAGGTTCTTTCATTTCATTAGATAAATGCCGTTTACACAAAAGTCTTTTATAACTGTTATCTAAGACATACATATAATATAAAAATTAAAAACAATTGTTATTTTTTTTTAATTTTGCATAGAAATGGCAAATGAAAATTTACTTTCAAATTTGAGTCACGGTGAAAAAAGAAACCGATTGGTATGTATCACTTAGTTGTAGAACATTTTCTTAATAGTGAACTTTTCCATGACAGTTTTCATCAATAACTGTAATGTTAAGTCCCTGATTTATACATTACAAACCATTTTTGCATAGCAACGCAATTTTTGTATTGCTGAACGCAAAGATTCTTATAAGGCGTCGTGAGGCATTTGTTAGTCTTATCATAAATTCTTAATAATTTTGTTATAAGCACTTATTTTGCATGGATTGTGTTATACACACATAATTAGCTATCCTACAGCTTTATCTAGGCTAATTAGTGTTCCATCGGAAGAGAATAGCCTAAGAAAATTGCGATTTACAGCATCCTTAGTGTTTTGAGATAAAATTAAGCAGCTAATTCTTACACTTGTGCCAATAGGCGAAATGCTATGAAATCAGAAAAAGCGTTAATTTGTGTTTATTGCCTGAAAGCAAGCAAATTTACGACCGGACGATCTATATAAATGTTCTGCCATTCGCTTTAATGCCCATTTACTATTTTCAATACAAATAAAATACGCAAACGACAAAAAATTCTTGCTCTTCAAATTTTCGCCAACCAAAAGAAACCAAGCCACCAAGCACCAGCAGCTACTCATAATTCTTCTGTATTTAACTTTAGTTTTATCATTACAAGTAATCTTACAACATAAAGTAGCAAGTGTAATTGAGTTGAATAAAATGGTTTATTGTAGGATTTGTCTGTGTGAAGCTGGCTTGGCTTGGCTTGACTGGGCTGGCAGGCTGTCTAACCGCTTGGCCGCCTGCTTGTTTGCCTGGTAGTTTGCTCACCCAACCGGCTGGTGTCATCGCACACATTTAAGCAAATCCCTATCGGTTGGTGAGTCATTGGCGCAGGCAATGCCAAGTAAATGAAATGAAAGACGCCACACAAAAAGGGAATCAAATGAGAAGTAAATAAAAAAAAAATATGGAAAAAGAAATAAAAAGTAAGAAAAATAACAAAAGCGCGCGATACAAACAAAGCCAAAGTTCAATGCAATCAATGCGAATTGTCGTCCATTGGCATTGAGGCGATGGGAAGGCGGCACACATTTACAGCAGAGCGGGCTGGAGGGGCGAATGCGGTTTAAATGTCGCTTGGCTGTGGTCGGAAGCAGCGCACAGATGCTGCGCCCGCCGTCCTCCCTCTCCCGCCGACGATGCTACTGCTGGCAGTTAGCATGTGCTAGCGCTCGCCAAATGCTTCGTTCCATTTGCGAAGTGTTGGGAAATTTTCTCATTTTAGCGCATGCTCATTCGCCGTCAATCTCACGCTTCACCAATTTCATATGCTCATTTAATTTTCTCTTTCATAGCTCTTAATCTTACAACTTACCCATACATACATACATAAATATTTAACAACTCTTATACGCTTATTTACTAGCACGTTGTCGCAATCCGAATCGTAAAATGGGTTATTGTGTCTCAATTTACGAATGCCCCAGCCTTATTGAGGTAGTACAACGCTTCGAACTCGCTCCAACGGATCGTGAATTCCTGCAGAAATCTCAATGTGCCAATGGTTATGGCCAGCCGCCGTATGTCTGTTGTACGCCTGATAAAGGTTTCACTACGTCGAATAGTGGCTCAACAACGTCGAGTACAACAACAACACCAACAACAAGCCGCCCATCGACTGTCAATCCGCCAGCACCAAGCAATGGACGTGGAAATGTGCTGCCGGTGCCGCCTGCGTGCGGTCCAAATTCACTGGATGATAAAATTTACAATGGCAAAGACACGGCACTGGATCAATATCCCTGGATGGTGCTGCTTGAATACGTACAGAGTAAGTACATAGATATGTATGTATGTATGTTTGTCTGCGAAGTTGGCATTTGTGTGTGTATGGGTGATAAACAACTTTCAACTTTCCGGCTGCTGCTCGTTGTGTTTGTTGTAGATTAAATCGCCGTCATTGATTTGAATTTCAATGTCTTTTATGCTTACATTCTTCTGCTTGCTCTTCTTATTCTTCTCATTTGTGCTTATATATCTTGTTACTTTCCCCATTGCCTACCCACCAATGATTTTTTTATTTACAGAAAATGGCAAACCCATACTAAATTGTGGCGGCAGTTTGATAAATCAACGCTATGTGCTGACAGCAGGCCACTGTGTTGTGGGCGCCATCGAAACGGAAGTTGGCCCACTGTAAGTGTAAGCGTGCTCTGGCATACTTAAGGCAAATATTACAAGCACGTCCTCTCACATACATACATACATATATATACAGACATGCATATTCCTTATGTTAACACACTTACA